ATCTAAAGGAAGAGATAAATTCTAATACAACAGTAGTGAGGGACTGCAACACCCTATTTCCATTAAGGGACAGATGATACCAACAAAGAAACCTCAGAGATGAACTACACTTTAGACCAATAGACCTAAAACTTACAGAACATTCCTTTCAATAGCTACAGGAAAAACATTCTTTTCATCTAGCTCTGAAGAATACTCTAGGATAGACCACATATTAGTCCACAAAAAAAAAATCTTAACTAATTCAAAAATTAGAAAATATATGATATATCTTTTATGACCATAATGTAATAAAAGTAGAAATCAACAACGAAAAAACACTAAAAATTATATGAATACACAGAAACCAAACAATATGATTCTGAATGAACAAAGTATCATTTAAGAAATCAAACATTTAAAAATTCCTTGAAACCAGTGAAATTTAAATACAATGTATCAAAACTGACAGGATACAGCAGGGGCACTAAAGCAGAAATTTAGATCTCAATAACTGTTTGCAATAAAAAAAAAAAGAAAGATCTCAAAAAAACAGCCTAGAAATGGACTTAAAATACTTAGAAAAACAAAAACCAACCCCAACATCAGTAAAAGTAAGTAAAAGTAATAAAGATCAGAGTAGATAGAAATGAAGTGTGAACTAAGAAAACACAAAATATCAATCAATGAAGTGTTGGTTCTTTGAATAGATAGATAGACAAACCTTTAGCTAGGTTAACTAGAAAAAAAAAACACCAGTAAATAAAACCATAGATGAAAATGGAGGTATCACAACTGATTCCACAGAAATACAGACAATAATCAAGGACTACTATGAACAACTTTACACAAACAAATTGGAAAACATAGAAGAAAAGCATAAATATCCAGATACACATAAATTATAAAACTTGAAGACATAGAGAACCAAATCAACTCAGAATGAATAATGAAGTTGAATCAGTAATAAAAAGTCTACCAAGAAAGGAAAGCTCAGGACCAGATGGCTTCACTGCTGAAAATTAACAAACCTCTGATTTAGAACTAACACCAGTTCCTCTCAAATTATTCCAAAGAATTAAAAGGGAGAGAACACTTTCAAACTCATTGCATAAAGTGAACATTGCTTTGATCCCCAACACAGATAAGGCCACCAAAAAAAATTAGGGATCTATACCTCTGATGACCATAGATACAAAAATTCTGAACAAAATACTAGCAAAATGAATCCAATAAAACAGAAAAAAATCACACATCAAGATCAAGTGGAATGTACCCCTGGCAAGCAGAGATGGCTCAATATTCCAAAATCAATAAGCATAATACATTACATCAACAGAATGGATAAAAATCATATGATCCTCTCACATTTTAGCAAAGGTCCTAGTTTTTTTTTTTTTAAAAAAAGACAAATATCCAGAAAACAATATCCAAAACTATGTGTACTTGAAGACATGATTGTATAATAGAAAACATTAAGGAATTCACAATAACACTAATAATTCTAATAAGTTAATTTATCAGGATGGCAAAACAGAAGCTTACTATGTAAAAGTAAATTGTATTCATACAAATGTACATCAAAAAGTTCATTAAAAATGGAATTAAAAGAAAAAAGTATTTTGGTATTAAAAATTTTTAAATCCATGCATTATTTTCTCTTTTCCTTTTTTAATATAAGGTATACAAATGTCAAGCATTTCATAAATACAAACTTAGGGATATAGTGGAATGATATGGTATGTAATCTTTTTATTTAAAGAAGTTTTGATTAGCATTTAATATTTCTCAATTTCCACAGGGCACTATGCAATACTGCAACACAGGTATACAGGGTAAATTGATATAATCAGGCACTAAGCATTTATATTTCCTTACCTTTTCTTTATGTTTGGAGACTACCTCCCTCCCAATTCTTTGTGCAGTGGACAATGCATATGTGAATTAAAGCCACCCAGCTGCACTGTGGAACAGTGGGACCTGTTTCTTCTACCAGAGTGTTGTGATATCTATTACCCTGTGTTCCCCTGCCTCCCTCCCTTCACCCTTCCCAACCTCTGGTAATCGCTATTCTAAGTTTGGATTGACTAGTCTTAACTTCCACATGTGAGAGAAAACATGCATTATTTGTCTTTTTCTGTCTTCATTTAACAAAATTACCTCTAATTCACCCATTTTTCCTCAAATGCAGAATTTAATTTCTTAATTTAAAAAAAAAGCAGATTTATAAAAGTAGTACCTATTTCTGAAATACTATTTGATGTTAAAGTACATGTATACAATGTATAATGTCCATTCAAGATGAATGTATATATTTCCTCAAATATTTAACATTTCTTAATGATAAAAACATCCAATATCCTATCTTCTAGATTTTTTATAGAGAAATCTACAGTACATAATCTATAATCAACCTATGGTGCGATCAAACAACAGGACTTCCTCCTCCTTTCTAGCCATAACATAGTACTTTTTTAAAAGAACTACTTTATTTATTTGAAAGAGTTGCAGAAAGAGGTAGAGCGAGAGAGAGAGGTCTTCCATTCTGCTGGCTCATTCCCCAAATGACTGCAACAGCCATAGCTGAGCTGATCTGAAGGAGCCAGCTTCCTCTGGGCCTCCCACATGGGTGCAGGGGCCCAAGGACTTGGGCCATCTTCCCAGGCCATAGCAGAGAGCTGGACTGGAAGAGGAGCAGCCAGGACTTGAACTGGCATCCACACAGGAGGGTGGCGCTGCAGGCTGGGGCTTTAACCTCTGCACCACAGCGCCAGCCCCCATAACATAATAATTATTAGTCAACCTTTCCTCTTTTTTCCTCCCACTTTCTCTCCCCCACCTCTGATAACCACCATCACACTTTTAACTTCTATGAGTTCATCCTTTTTTATATCCCACATATGAAAGAGATCACATGATATTTGTCTTTCTGTGTTAGGCTTATTTCACTTAACGTAATAGCCCCCTTCCTCTAATCCCTCTTTGCCATATGTGTCACAGATGTCATTTTTTTAAGCATCTGAAAACACGTCATGTGCCTCAGCTGCTTGACTGAATTTTATCCCTGCTTCTTCTTGATTCCCAGGATCTTAACCAGGTTGCCACTTTAGTGTCAGTTTCCAATATCCCTTGGTGATACACTCGGGTTAGGCCTGTCTCTGAACACCTGGAACTTCAGGTGTTAACCAGCTGTTGGAACAAGTCCAAAGGGGAGAGCAGCCTTTGGCAGGAAGCAGTGGAGGAGGGGAGCAGAGTCTCCACGGGCTCTGATACCCTGCCCTGGCAAAGGTAGCCACCTCGGAGTATCCTGATGCCTCAGATTCATAGAGTTCATTGCCATCTCCCACAACACCACTCTAATCTCCCATTGCTATCATCCTATGATTCACCAAAATTTACTTTCCTGTATTCTCTGTTCAGAGATCATGGGGTTATTGTGCTGTTGAAAATGACAGTGACTTTCAATTCTGCTGTAAATTGCATCTACTTTTATGGATTTACATATATCAGACTGCAGCTGAGACAACAGGTGGCATGATGCCAGCAGATTGTAAGGACTACTTTAATTCACTCATATCCCTCAAGGGATACACGCATAGATATGGCAAAGTTAGCTATTTCTGAAGAGGTACTGTCATGCACAGGTTAGCCCAAATTTCTAAGACCATAGCTATAATAGCAATTCTTATATCTTTCCCTGCAAAATTTCCATTTAAAAACTTTGCAGGGGCCGGCGCTGTGGGTCAACGCCCTGGCCTGAAGCGCCGGCATCCCATATGGGCAACGGTTCTAGTCCCGGCTGCTCCACTTCCCATCCAGCTCTCTGCTATGGCCTGGGAAAGCAGTAGAAGATGGCCCAAGTCCATGGGCCCCTGCACCCGCATGGCTCCTGGCTCCTGTCTTCAGATAGGTGCAGCTCTGGCCGTTGCAGCCATCTGGGGAGTGAACCATCAGACGGAAGACTTCTCTCTCTCTCTCTCTCTCTCTGCCTCTCCTCTCTGTGTGTAACTCATTCAAATAAATAAATAAATCTTAAAAAAATTGCAAAAACTAAAATTCAGGGGCCAGAGCCATGGCACAGTGGGTTAATCTTCTGCTGCAGTGCCAGCATCTCATATGGGTGCTGGTTCTAGTCCTGGCTGCTCCACTTCTGATCCAGCTCTCTGCTGTGGCCTGGGAAAGCAGTGGAAGATGACCCAAGTCCTGGGGCCCCTGCACCCACATGGAAGACCCTGGCTCCTGGCTTCGGATCGGTGCAGCTCCAGCAGTTGCAGCCATTTAGAGAGTGAACCAACGGATGGAAGACCTTTCTGTCTCTCCCTCTCACTGTCTGTAACTCTACCTCTCAATAAAATCTTTAAAAAAACTAAAATTCAAAATATTTAGTTTGAGTCCCAGCTGCTTCACTTATGATCCAGTTTCCTTCTAATATGCCTGGGAAGCCACGGGTGATGGAACAAGTACTTGAGTTCTTGTCACCATGTAGGAAACCTAAATGGAGTTCCTGGCGCCTGGCTTCATCTAGAACAGTGTTGCAGCTATTTGGAGAGTGAGCCAGCAGGTGGAAGATTCTCTCTCTCTCTCTCTCTCTCTCTCACACACACACACACACACACACTCAAGTAAATAAATCTTTAAGACACACAGTGACCCTGGCCAGTGTTGACAATACTTATTTCCATATCTGTGTCTTCAAACAGGCTGTATGTCGTAGGGGTGAAACATCCACCTCTCTAATCCCATAGTTAACTCTCATCTTGCTATACTATGTATTCTCAGACTTCACCCTTAAACCCTCTATGGAAACACACCCAGGTCCCATGGAGATGTCATTTCTGGGTCCTGCACTCAAGCTTTCACAGTCTCCACCACACTGATTTTTGAGAGGTATTTGTAGATTCCTGGGTAACAGGTGGCTCCAACATAGGGTAATTTGCAATAAACATTCATGATGAATGAATGGCTCATAAACTAATGAGAACACCCACTAGTAAAGAAAACTGTGAACCAGAGACACTCACCTGTCTGTTAAATGGCCAAACACGATGTTTCCCACCATCATTCCAGCCATAAGCAGGAATCTAAGGACTGAAGTCAGTGACTCAGATTCACATACCAGGTCCCACTGTAAGAGAAGGAACCATCACAGCATTCTGTTCAGTCGCCCAGGGGCTTCTAACTGGAGAGTTAGGGTGGAGTATTACTGACTCAGCATAACACTTGTAGCACAACCTGCGAGCGATTTGCTTCATGAATGAAAGCTATGATGCTACCATTCTGCCTATTTTATACAGGAGTCCAGCGGTTAACAGAAAAGCAATTCACACTTCCTGAAAGAGTGAAAAATGAGTGCCCACACAGAGATCCCTGTCTTGACGCATGCTCACGACTTGGGTTGTTACCTCTGAACATCCCAGCCAGGCACTCATAAGAGGAGAACGGTCTCCTACCTGCGTCACGGTGGTGGAGACGGAGGAGCTGCGGTCGTACACCCAGCCGTCCACACAGGGCTCTGTGTCCGGCTCATTCGTGCTCGGGGAGGTCCCGTTCAGGTAAAGGAGCTGCCACTGGGGATGGGTGAAGCGACGGCACTTCTCTGGCCTCAGCTTTGCGTCCAGCGGGATGGAGACTCTCAGGAGGGCGTCTTGGCTGAGGACGTCAGAGGCATTGCCAGAGGCCGTGTGGTTGTCCAGGAGGGGGACCCAGCAGCGATGGTCAGGGACAGCAGCAGTGAAGTTCTCCAACAGAGCTTGAGGGAAAGCTACAACCATGATGCTTATGAGGGAAAGAACCTGGAGAATCTGGAATCTCCCCAGGCCTCCAACCTGATCCAAGAGCTCATTAAAGGCCATTGAGACTGAGCAGGTGGCTCCCACGAACTGGCCCGGTGACTTTATGCGGATCAAGTGCAAAGACAGAAGCGTTTACTTTCACTAAATGGCACTAGGCGGCACTCACCCTGACCCCAACAAGTCTGTGTGAAAAACCGATTCCTCAAATCATTGAGGAATCAGGCAGAGAAACATTTTGATTGGATGATCCCAACTGCTCTCAGGTAAGTCTGTTTAAATTTCTACTTTGTAAAAATTCATGTTGTCAGCAGTGCCAAAAGTCAGCATTGAACTTTAGTCTCCCCGTTGTCTGTAAACAAAGCAAAATTTTAAAAAACCTGGAATGTGATGGGCAGTGTGTTCCCGAATGCGTAATTTGTGAGAAAAAAATCAGAAGTGTTTTTTTTTCCTGTGGGAAGCACTGAAAGCAATTGGCTTGCCTGTTTAGTGCTGACTTCTGATTGAAATAGAGAAGCAATAATACTTTTTTAAAGATTTATTTAATTATTTGTAAGAGCGAAAGAGAGAGAGAGAGAGAGGAGAGAGAGATATCTTCCATTCACTGGTTCAATCCCCAAATGGGTGCGATGGCCAGAGTTAGGCCAGGTGGAAGTTAGGAGCCAGGGGTTTCCTCCAGGTATCCCATGTGGGTGCAGGTCCCCAAGTACTATGTATATCCTCTGCTGTTTTTCCAAGTCCATTAGCAGGGAGCTGGATTGGAAGTGGAACATCCAGGACACAAACTGGTGCCCATATGGGATGCAGGCATTGCAGGCAGCAGATTTACCCACTATACCACAACACCAGCCAAGAGAAAATAATCTTTAGTTAAGTTAAAGCCAGCAAATGTCTTCTAATCTTCCCTGTGGCAACTGACTTTCTGAACCAGGTTAAACCATACCAGAAACTAACTTTAAAAATTAATTGTGCATGGGGGCACCACTTGGTACCATGGTGAAGCTACCAGTTGGGATGCCCACATGCCTGGGTTCGAGCACTGACTCTGTGCCCTCATTCCAGATTCCTGCTAATTAAGACCCTAGGAGGTAGCAGATGACAGCTTAAGTGGTTTCATGCCTGCCACCCGCATGAGAGACCCAGATTGAGCTTCTGGCTCTAGCCATTGTGGGCATCTGGAGAGTGAACCAAAAGATGAGAAATTTGTCTCTGTTCATCTCTTCTCTGTCCTCTCTCTCTCTCTCTCTCCCTCCCTATATATAAATATAATTATATATATCCCTCCCTCTCTCTCCCTATATATATATAAAATTATATATAATTACTTATTTACTTATTTATTTATTATTATATATAATTACTTATTTACTTATTTTAAAATTATATATATATAAAAATAATTTTAAAATAAGTAAATGAATAAGAAAAAAGAAAACAAATTCCCTAAAATGGATGTTGTGAGAGTAGCAATGTATGGCCAAGGAGTAAATCAGTAGTAAATACAGAGTGAGGATTATTTTTCTATACTTGTTGATTCATTCATATAGAGTTTGTGTGAAACTTTTCCTTGCTAGTTCAAGAATTCCTTCAAAAACTTTGTGAAAAGGAGAAGGAAAGATAAACATTTTCAGTGTAAATATTTTAAAGCCATACCTATAAGGTCTTCTAAAAGTCCATTAAAACTTGTTTTTATGAAAAAATTGCATGGACTTTAAAACTTTTTCAGCCAAAATAAACATATTTTAAGGTCATTTTTCCTATGAGCTTTTTGAAGTTCCCATATAGTTAGTGTAAAACAAGATTTTCAAGGGTCTTACAGTATAGTGAGTGCTACAGTTTTAATATGATTTGGCCCCAAAACTCAGGCAGGACGTTAAACCCCAAAGTCATAAGGTAATGATACTTAGAGTGAAAATCTAATCCAATTATGGTGTGCAGGAAGTGGGATCTAATACAAACTCATTTAGTCATCAGGGGAATGCTTTCAGAAATTAGTTCTTGGCCAGCGCCACGGCTCACTAGGCTAATCCTCCGCCTGCAGCGCCGGTACTCAGGGTTTTTAGTCCCAGTTGGGGCGCCGGTTCTGTCCCAGTTGCTCCTCTTCCAGTCCAGCTCTCTGCTGTGGCCCGGGAAAGCAGTGGAGGATGGCCCAAGTCCTTGGGCCCCTGCACCCACATGGGAGACCAGGAGGAAACACCTGGCTCCTGGCTTCGGATCAGCGCACTGCGCCGGCCGCAGCGGCCATTTGGGGGGTGAACCAATGGAAGGAAGACCTTTCTCTCTGTCTCTCACTGCCACTCTGCCTGTCAAAAAAAAAAAGAAGGTGGAGGTAGAGGAGGAGGAGGGGAAAGGGAAGAGGAAAAGAAAGGAGGAAGGAAGAAAGCAGAGAAGAAAATAACACCTCTCATAATGATTTCCTGAGCCAAACATGAGGTCACCATGTTCCAAATTATATCTGTGCACCTCAGATACTGATTAACTCTTCACGTAATATTAACCTCTTTATCATCCCACCTCTACAGATGAACCAGTACTTTGAAACATTCCCTAAGGAAAGAAATTCAGAGAAAGAAAAGGCACCATAACAAAACTCACACTATCAAGAATGTTCTTTGTTGGAAACCACAGCCTCAGACACATCATACTCAGTTTGTCCTTGTTAGAGAGGGGTCACGATGGAGACCTCTATCTCCAACATATAAGCCCATGACCCTGTGCTGTTTTTACAGGGGTTGCTGTAAGAACAGGTTCCAGGGCCAGCGCCATGGCTCACTTGGTTAATCCTCCGCCTGCGGCGCCGGAATCCCCTATGGGCACCGGGTTCTAGTCCCGGTTGCTCCTCTTCCAGTCCAGCTCTCTGCTGTGGCCTGGGAGGGCAGTGGAGGATGGCCCAAGTGCTTGGGAGACCAGGAGAAGCACCTGGCTCTTGGCTTCAGATCGGCGCAGCGCCGGCCATAGTGGCCATTTGGGGGGTGAACCAACAGAAGGAAGACCTTTCTTTCTGTCTCTCTCTCTCACTGTCTAAAACTCTGCCTATCAAATAAAAAAAAAAAAAACAGGCTCCAAGAAGACCTTACACCTGAGCCCCATAAAGACTGTCATGTCTGCAAAACAAGTTCATATCAACCATTTAAAAAAAATGAGATGCAGTGTTGTGGTTTTGCACTGACCATTCCTTTTTGCTGTATAATTAGCAATGTGAGTGGAGTTTGCAGAGGAACTCGGATTCAAGTGGGGAATGCCAGATCACATGATCGATATTCAGGAAGCTTCTGGTACATGGTAGAATTCTTCTTTGGGAAGCGGGAAATTCACGTTCAAAGTTTGCTGGATCTTCACTTTTTCTAATGCACTTTCTCCGTGACTTTCACCTCCTCTGGTACGAAAATGAACAAAAAAAAATGTGTATGTACCAACCATAATACCACGCTGTACAAAAAGCATGAGACAGCCTCCTGCTGAAATCTTACCCAGTGTTGTTCTGGAGTTAGTTTGCACATGTTCAGAAATGTCCTTTCAATGTAGGGGTTATTTACAAGGCAGGTGTTATCTTGCCAATAGCCAAAATCAACTATGGTGCAATTATTCACACCATGAAACTGATGATCATCACAAACCTGAGATCCATGGGATTTTTTCCTACTAAAATGGTGAGTGTTAAACATTTACCAGGCCAACCCTAACTTGCCTCCTGAAGTCACTTGAACTCCTCTGAACTGCAAACTTAATCATAGGCCTGCCCCATTTAAACCTGTTACCACCTTAACCCCTAACCCTCTTCAGATGCCATAGCCTCCAAGAGGCGTCCGTTTGCCTCCTTCCACACAACCCAGGTTACGCCTCCCCTTGACCTCCACTTTCACCTTGCTCTACCTCACTTGTGGAGGGTGGCTGACTTTTCTGAAGACAGAATCTGTTGGTGTTTTCTGCCCTTTCTGCCACAGCATCTATCATTAAGTCACACAGCACAAATTCAGAACGGAGGTGCGGGGGCAGGAAAGCTGAGGAAAGGCAGAGCTGATAACGGGTGGAACAAGATTAGAAGCTGAACGTTCTGAAACGCTAGAACCAACACAGGAGTACAACTCGTTGATCCAGTAGGGTTTGGGAAAATCTTTGTGAGTGAGATCAGAGATAGAGCTGATATTTATCCTTTAAATGATAACTATCATATTCACAAATTCCCCTTAATGCCATGTGATTGGTAAAACTCTGAAATGCAGTGGATAGAACTGAAACCTCAAGAGGAGTCAGGAGTGCAGTTTTCATTGATCTTGCACCCTTACCACATCACCTGCGATCACAAAAGTGTGTCAGTTGCTTTCTAAAAACTGAGTCTCAATGAAACTCTTTCTCATAGTTTCGCTGGTGAAGGCGCTTTGTGATTAGGATGCTTCCAAGAAAACATGTAGAGAATGTAACTCAAACTGGGCTACAGTGTAGCATGAGGTCACGTGAATTTCTACTAGGACTGAAACACTGTGAAAATAAAGATGAAGAAAAAGGCTGGGCAAGTCACCATGGAGGGGAGGAAGAAATTGGGTAGAGCAGACATGAGAAGACAACAGAAAAGGGTTTGGAATGTACGAAGCTTGGAGCAGAAGGGGTTAGATAAGCCATAAAAGCATCCCAAAAAATGAGAACCAAATGCACTGAGCAGAGAAGGAAGAGGATTTTCCTAAGAAGAAGAAGGCACTGCTTTAAGCCTGGAAAAAGGGACCTGCAAGGAGGTGATTGTGAAATATGGTACAATCTTCCCTTTTGGCAACTGACTGATCCTGGCTAAATCACACTAAAAAGCAGTTTGAAAACAAGTTTCTCAAAATGGGGAAGGTTGACTTTGGTGAGTGAAAGTGGAGGAGTAAGTCAGTAGGGTGTTCACAGACAGGTGTTTTGTTACACTGATGAATTCATTCAGAAAATTTTCATAAGGGCCTTTTCCATGCTACTTCTGATATTGGGAACCAGGAAGAAGGATTAAATGGGAATATGCTGGGGCCAGCACTGTGGCACAGCAGGTTAACATCCTAGCCTGAAGCACCAGCATTCCATATGGGCACAAGTTCGAGACCCGGCTGCTCCACTTCCAATCCAGCTCTCTGCTATGGTCTGGGAAAGCAGTAGAAGATGGCCCAAGTCCTAGGGCTCCTGCAGCCACATGGGAGACCTGGAGGGAGCTCCTGTTTCCTGGCTTCAGA